GAAGAAGCAGGGAGATATGGAAGAAGCAGGGAGATATGGAAGAAGCAGGGAGATATGGAAGAAGCAGGGAGATATGGAAGAAGCAGGGAGATATGGAAGAAGCAGGGAGATATGGAAGAAGCAGGGAGATATGGACGAAGCAGGGAGATATGGAAGAAGCAGGGAGATATGGAAGAAGCAGGGAGATATGGAAGAAGCAGGGAGATATGGAAGAAGCAGGGAGATATGGAAGAAGCAGGGAGATATGGACGAAGCAGGGAGATATGGACGAAGCAGGGAGATATGGAAGAAGCAGGGAGATATGGACGAAGCAGGGAGATATGGAAGAAGCAGGGAGATATGGAAGAAGCAGGGAGATATGGACGAAGCAGGGAGATATGGAAGAAGCAGGGAGATATGGAAGAAGCAGGGAGATATGGACGAAGCAGGGAGATATGGAAGAAGCAGGGAGATATGGAAGAAGCAGGGAGATATGGAAGAAGCAGGGAGATATGGAAGAAGCAGGGAGATATGGACGAAGCAGGGAGATATGGAAGAAGCAGGGAGATATGGAAGAAGCAGGGAGATATGGAAGAAGCAGGGAGATATGGAAGAAGCAGGGAGATATGGAAGAAGCAGGGAGATATGGAAGAAGCAGGGAGATATGGACGAAGCAGGGAGATATGGAAGAAGCAGGGAGATATGGACGAAGCAGGGAGATATGGAAGAAGCAGGGAGATATGGAAGAAGCAGGGAGATATGGACGAAGCAGGGAGATATGGAAGAAGCAGGGAGATATGGAAGAAGCAGGGAGATATGGACGAAGCAGGGAGATATGGAAGAAGCAGGGAGATATGGAAGAAGCAGGGAGATATGGAAGAAGCAGGGAGATATGGAAGAAGCAGGGAGATATGGACGAAGCAGGGAGATATGGAAGAAGCAGGGAGATATGGAAGAAGCAGGGAGATATGGACGAAGCAGGGAGATATGGACGAAGCAGGGAGATATGGAAGAAGCAGGGAGATATGGAAGAAGCAGGGAGATATGGAAGAAGCAGGGAGATATGGACGAAGCAGGGAGATATGGAAGAAGCAGGGAGATATGGAAGAAGCAGGGAGATATGGAAGAAGCAGGGAGATATGGACGAAGCAGGGAGATATGGAAGAAGCAGGGAGATATGGAAGAAGCAGGGAGATATGGAAGAAGCAGGGAGATATGGAAGAAGCAGGGAGATATGGAAGAAGCAGGGAGATATGGAAGAAGCAGGGAGATATGGACGAAGCAGGGAGATATGGAAGAAGCAGGGAGATATGGACGAAGCAGGGAGATATGGAAGAAGCAGGGAGATATGGAAGAAGCAGGGAGATATGGAAGAAGCAGGGAGATATGGAAGAAGCAGGGAGATATGGAAGAAGCAGGGAGATATGGAAGAAGCAGGGAGATATGGAAGAAGCAGGGAGATATGGAAGAAGCAGGGAGATATGGAAGAAGCAGGGAGATATGGAAGAAGCAGGGAGATATGGACGAAGCAGGGAGATATGGAAGAAGCAGGGAGATATGGAAGAAGCAGGGAGATATGGAAGAAGCAGGGAGATATGGAAGAAGCAGGGAGATATGGAAGAAGCAGGGAGATATGGAAGAAGCAGGGAGATATGGACGAAGCAGGGAGATATGGAAGAAGCAGGGAGATATGGACGAAGCAGGGAGATATGGAAGAAGCAGGGAGATATGGAAGAAGCAGGGAGATATGGACGAAGCAGGGAGATATGGAAGAAGCAGGGAGATATGGAAGAAGCAGGGAGATATGGAAGAAGCAGGGAGATATGGAAGAAGCAGGGAGATATGGACGAAGCAGGGAGATATGGAAGAAGCAGGGAGATATGGAAGAAGCAGGGAGATATGGACGAAGCAGGGAGATATGGAAGAAGCAGGGAGATATGGAAGAAGCAGGGAGATATGGAAGAAGCAGGGAGATATGGAAGAAGCAGGGAGATATGGAAGAAGCAGGGAGATATGGAAGAAGCAGGGAGATATGGAAGAAGCAGGGAGATATGGAAGAAGCAGGGAGATATGGAAGAAGCAGGGAGATATGGAAGAAGCAGGGAGATATGGAAGAAGCAGGGAGATATGGAAGAAGCAGGGAGATATGGAAGAAGCAGGGAGATATGGAAGAAGCAGGGAGATATGGAAGAAGCAGGGAGATATGGAAGAAGCAGGGAGATATGGAAGAAGCAGGGAGATATGGAAGAAGCAGGGAGATATGGAAGAAGCAGGGAGATATGGAAGAAGCAGGGAGATATGGAAGAAGCAGGGAGATATGGAAGAAGCAGGGAGATATGGAAGAAGCAGGGAGATATGGAAGAAGCAGGGAGATATGGAAGAAGCAGGGAGATATGGAAGAAGCAGGGAGATATGGAAGAAGCAGGGAGATATGGACGAAGCAGGGAGATATGGAAGAAGCAGGGAGATATGGAAGAAGCAGGGAGATATGGAAGAAGCAGGGAGATATGGAAGAAGCAGGGAGATATGGAAGAAGCAGGGAGATATGGAAGAAGCAGGGAGATATGGAAGAAGCAGGGAGATATGGAAGAAGCAGGGAGATATGGAAGAAGCAGGGAGATATGGAAGAAGCAGGGAGATATGGAAGAAGCAGGGAGATATGGAAGAAGCAGGGAGATATGGAAGAAGCAGGGAGATATGGAAGAAGCAGGGAGATATGGACGAAGCAGGGAGATATGGACGAAGCAGGGAGATATGGAAGAAGCAGGGAGATATGGAAGAAGCAGGGAGATATGGAAGAAGCAGGGAGATATGGAAGAAGCAGGGAGATATGGACGAAGCAGGGAGATATGGACGAAGCAGGGAGATATGGAAGAAGCAGGGAGATATGGAAGAAGCAGGGAGATATGGACGAAGCAGGGAGATATGGAAGAAGCAGGGAGATATGGAAGAAGCAGGGAGATATGGAAGAAGCAGGGAGATATGGAAGAAGCAGGGAGATATGGAAGAAGCAGGGAGATATGGAAGAAGCAGGGAGATATGGACGAAGCAGGGAGATATGGAAGAAGCAGGGAGATATGGAAGAAGCAGGGAGATATGGAAGAAGCAGGGAGATATGGACGAAGCAGGGAGATATGGAAGAAGCAGGGAGATATGGAAGAAGCAGGGAGATATGGAAGAAGCAGGGAGATATGGAAGAAGCAGGGAGATATGGACGAAGCAGGGAGATATGGACGAAGCAGGGAGATATGGAAGAAGCAGGGAGATATGGAAGAAGCAGGGAGATATGGAAGAAGCAGGGAGATATGGAAGAAGCAGGGAGATATGGAAGAAGCAGGGAGATATGGAAGAAGCAGGGAGATATGGAAGAAGCAGGGAGATATGGAAGAAGCAGGGAGATATGGACGAAGCAGGGAGATATGGAAGAAGCAGGGAGATATGGAAGAAGCAGGGAGATATGGAAGAAGCAGGGAGATATGGACGAAGCAGGGAGATATGGAAGAAGCAGGGAGATATGGAAGAAGCAGGGAGATATGGACGAAGCAGGGAGATATGGAAGAAGCAGGGAGATATGGAAGAAGCAGGGAGATATGGAAGAAGCAGGGAGATATGGAAGAAGCAGGGAGATATGGAAGAAGCAGGGAGATATGGAAGAAGCAGGGAGATATGGACGAAGCAGGGAGAAGAGGAAGAAGCAGGGAGATATGGAAGAAGCAGGGAGATATGGAAGAAGCAGGGAGATATGGAAGAAGCAGGGAGATATGGAAGAAGCAGGGAGATATGGACGAAGCAGGGAGATATGGACGAAGCAGGGAGATATGGAAGAAGCAGGGAGATATGGAAGAAGCAGGGAGATATGGACGAAGCAGGGAGATATGGAAGAAGCAGGGAGATATGGAAGAAGCAGGGAGATATGGAAGAAGCAGGGAGATATGGAAGAAGCAGGGAGATATGGAAGAAGCAGGGAGATATGGAAGAAGCAGGGAGATATGGAAGAAGCAGGGAGATATGGACGAAGCAGGGAGATATGGAAGAAGCAGGGAGATATGGAAGAAGCAGGGAGATATGGAAGAAGCAGGGAGATATGGAAGAAGCAGGGAGATATGGAAGAAGCAGGGAGATATGGAAGAAGCAGGGAGATATGGAAGAAGCAGGGAGATATGGAAGAAGCAGGGAGATATGGACGAAGCAGGGAGATATGGAAGAAGCAGGGAGATATGGAAGAAGCAGGGAGATATGGACGAAGCAGGGAGATATGGAAGAAGCAGGGAGATATGGAAGAAGCAGGGAGATATGGAAGAAGCAGGGAGATATGGAAGAAGCAGGGAGATATGGAAGAAGCAGGGAGATATGGAAGAAGCAGGGAGATATGGAAGAAGCAGGGAGATATGGACGAAGCAGGGAGATATGGAAGAAGCAGGGAGATATGGAAGAAGCAGGGAGATATGGAAGAAGCAGGGAGATATGGAAGAAGCAGGGAGATATGGAAGAAGCAGGGAGATATGGAAGAAGCAGGGAGATATGGAAGAAGCAGGGAGATATGGAAGAAGCAGGGAGATATGGAAGAAGCAGGGAGATATGGACGAAGCAGGGAGATATGGAAGAAGCAGGGAGATATGGAAGAAGCAGGGAGATATGGAAGAAGCAGGGAGATATGGACGAAGCAGGGAGATATGGAAGAAGCAGGGAGATATGGAAGAAGCAGGGAGATATGGAAGAAGCAGGGAGATATGGAAGAAGCAGGGAGATATGGAAGAAGCAGGGAGATATGGAAGGAGGAATGCGTTGCTTAGGGAGGTGGACGACGACAGGGGGCAGCGGGAGATGCAAGGGCCAGCAATGACAGGAGCAACTGCTGTGTGCACGAAGCAGATGTGGGTGTGATGGGTGTGATGGGTGAGACGCGGGTGAGACCGTGAGGCGCAGGTGAGGCGCAGGTAGGAGGGGGAGGCAGAGGGAAGAAGGGGGCAGCACACAAGGGATAGAAAGACGGGGTGAGTTGTTTGGGCAGGGGGGAGGCGTTAGGGATTAGAGGGAGCAGCGATGAAGAGCACATGTGCAAGGAGCAAGTGTGGGTGCACCACGCACACACGGCCATGTGCTGCTGCGGTGGGTGCGGTGGGTGCGGGTGTGCGGGAGGGAGCAGCACTGACGCGGCTGATGTAGGCGGGGCGTGCGTTGAGCACCTTCTTGGAACACGCCTTCACCGCCACCACCGCCCCCGTCGCCCGCTCCACTGCCTCCCTGGTCGCCCCCGCACACACACACATGGGGTGCGTGGTGATGGCCCCGGGGCGAGACGAGCAAGGGACGAGGGGCAAGTGAAACGGGAAGGGGAGAGGGAGGGTGAGGAGGGGCGAAAGGGAACGAGGGTTTCCGTGAAAGCAGGGGAATCGACGAGGGGCACAGGGCAGGTGGGGAGAAAAGCAGCGGCGGGGGAAAATGGGGACGGGGGTGTGCAGGCTGGGGTGGTTGGGGAAAGCAGGGGCGGGGGTGAAATGCAGCGGAGCAAGCGCGGCGCGCACCTGACGGACGCCACGCGGCCGCACCCGAGAGTGTTGCCCAGCAGCTTGTAGTGAGCTTCCAGGGAACCTTCCGGGCCCACCTTGGTCGCTGACGTCAGCATGGGGTCCTTGACGTGGTTGTGAGTGGGAAGCGATGCTGACGTGGCGGGATGTAGTGATGACGAGGACGGCTCCACTGCCGTGCTGGACAGGCAGCAACCCATGGCGATTGGCGGCAGCTGTGAGAAAAGTGGGTGCCCTGGTTGGAGTATCGCGGCGTTCGCCAACAGGGTCGCTGCTTGGCGCTAGGACGCTGCGCTGAGCGCTCCCGGCGTGCGCAGACGCGGGCGGAGGTGGCCACTTGGATGATGACCCGCGCCGCTCGCATTCATGCCGCGCTGCTTGCCCTCACAGCGGCGGCGCGACGCGCGGGCGCGCGCATCGGCGCTTTTACGACCGGCGCGCTTGGGTCGGGGATGGCGAGCGGCGAGACCCGCTGCGAATGTGTGCGAACTCAAAGCTGTCGCCTTTTCAGTTGACTCAAATCGTGTTCGCAGAACGCGGCGAGCTGTCTCCACGAGCGCGTCTTTACGCGCCGAGCGCGCCGCTGGAACGACACGACGCTCTGCCGGTGAGGGCTTTTGTCGCCCGCAATCCCCGCTGCTGCGGTGTCAGTCGACTGGGCGTCACTCGCTGGGTGCCGGCAGGAGTGGCGAGGTCAGATAGCGACTATTACACTGCTCCGCAGGAAGCGGGACGCGATATGAGTGCGAGAGTGATGGGCGTCAGCGCTGCAGTGCTTGGAACAGGCGCGCTGTGGCACAATAGAAATATCAAACCGTGGATATGTGATGGCGCGTTTCAGAAACAGTTGTGGTGTGGTGGGTGAAATCGTGACGTGCGGGAGCCGACGTGGCACATTCCATTGAGTCGGAACCACGTGCGGCTGACTCGAAACGTTTGCGCGAATCGGAGCCCAGCCATGTGATCGACCGTGCACGAGGTGCCGTCCGATATTTTAGTTACACAACTTGGTCGAACTGTAGCTACGTGGAGAGGTGTAGTGTAGTGACGGCAAAACGATATACTTCTGTAACGAGCCCAGCGAAACACGACGACAAGAGCTTGACGAAATATTCGCCCTTAGCAGTAGCACCGGTTACGCCCTTAGCAGTAGCACCGGTCATGCGAATTCGCATGAGCGAGTAGTACCGATCCTAGCCCTCACCAAAACAATCCTATTTTTTTCCGGCACACGTCGTAGTCCCTCGACGAAGTGCAACAGAAAAGCCACTCATGAGAGGGTGCAGGGCAGCGCGTCGCAACTGCGTTGCTCTGAGCCATCGCTGATTTATCCTTCACGCTGCTCTCCGTCCGATTCCAATCCTCGTTTTTGCCTCGCCCTTCACGGTGTTGTTATGCTTCTTATGACACACTGACAGCGCCACTATCGCCATCGCTCTCGCCGTCGCTATCGCCCTTCAGCGGTCGCCGCCATGCTAAAAGACAAGCGCGCCGCCTTCCTGCGGCAGCAGGAACGCGTGCAGGCGCGCACCGTCGTCGACCATGCCGCCGCCACAGCCGCCAGGCGCCAAGCCGCCCCTTCCCCGCCGCCGCTGCGCCGGCGAGCACTGCTGGCGCGGGGGAAGTTGCGGGGAGCGGAAAGGGCATCGCGGTGGGGTTTCAGGGGCTGCAGGCGGAGAACTGGCTGGCGGACGCGGGGAAGTACGAGGCGGTGCTGCGCGTGCGACAGCTGCCGCTGGGGCAGAAGATCAAGAAGGTCATCGACCTGCTCTTCCGGGTAAGAAGGTCATCCACCTGCTCTTCCGAGTCAGTGCGCCGCCCCCGCTGCTGCCGCTGCGAATTGCGTGAAGGCGGCACGCCATCAATGCGCCAACCATGAGTGCAGGCAGTCGTGCTGCCACCGCGCAGGCAGCAATGGGCGAGCAGGCCCAGCACGGTGCTACCAGTGCCACGCGCATAATCTCCTCCCCTCTCCGCCCTACCCTCCCCTCCCCTCCCTCCCCGACTCCTCTCCCCTTTCTGCGCTCCCTTCCTTTCCCTCCCTTTCCTCACTCCCGTGCCCTGCCTTCCCCTTCCCCCTTCATGCCCCCCTTCCCCCTCAATCTCCGCGTGCGCACGGCAGGAGAGGCAGGGGCTGACGGCGGAGCAGGTGGAGGCGGTGACGATGGTGGATCTCACCACCAGCCGCGAGCTGCAGGCCAGCCTGCGTGCCAACCCCAAGGTCGCCGTGCACGGCAACACCTACATCTACAAGGTGCGCCCACCCCAACCCCACGCCTCTGCTAATTCCTTTCTTCATTTTTTCTCCTCCTATCCCCCCAATTTCTTTTTTCACCTTACTGCTGTCGTTGGATTAGGAGTCGTTTGTGTCACGTCTCTGCTGTCGCTCTCTTCCGTCCCTCGCTGCAGCCTCCACCTTGTTGCTCGCTCTTCCATCCACCGCCGCCCGTCTGTGCCCATCCGACCATCCCCCCAACCCTTCCGTGCCTCCCTCATCCCCATCCACTCTGCCTTCCTCCCGCGCCTCTCCCTCCCTCTCCTCACCCCCCATGGGGGCACATCCGGCAGGCGAAGCATGATTTGGCGGGGAGGGACGACCTGCTGAGGCTGATCCGCGAGCACAAGGACGGCATCCCCATGGCCGACGTGCGCGACGCCTACAGCGGCGTGGCGCAGCACGTACAGGAGCTGAGGGCTTTGGGGCAGGCGTGGGTGCTGTTCAACGCGGACAGCGGTGACGAGGTGCTGTTCCCCAACGACCCGCGCATCACCATCAAGGTGGACCCCAACATCCGCGCCCTCTTCCGCCGCATCGACCTGCCCCGTGACCTCACCGACCTCGAGAAGGAGCTGCAGCGCTGCGGTCAGACACCCGCCATGCCCGCCGTGCGCCGCCTGCAGGCGCTTGAGGGCGCCATGACCGCTCAGGTGAGGGGGGGGAAGAGAGGAGGGGGAGAGAGAATGGGGAAGGGGGAAGGTGGTGGGTTGGGGGGTGGGCGGTGTGGACGTGCAGCCATGAGGCAGTAGCGTGCCATGCCGGCTGTGCCTGCTGGCCTTGCAAGGAGGCTGGCCGTGATGGTGAAGTGAAAGGTGGTCGAGGCTATGGGAGGAAGGAGCACGGAAGTGGGGGAATGCAGCGTGGGAATCTGCTGTCTAGAGCACTGGCTGAAGGTAGTGCTGCTGTGGGGGGTATGCATGCGTTGACTGTGCAAGTGAGAAGCCTCCTCCATATCACTTCTCTTGTTTCCACCCCTCCAGACACGAAAGCCCAAGGCGAAGAGGAAGCGGGAGTCGAAGCGCACCAAGTACACAAACAACCATCTGCCAGAACTCTTCGCCAACACACCCATGTGATCTCTCTTGCTCTTTTCCGTAGGCCTCTTCGTATTGAAGCTTACCCTACTAGCCCAATGGCTTCATGGCGGGCCATGGTGTAGGCAATAGTTATGGCACCTATCTGAGTGTTCCTAATCCGAGTGTTCCTCCCTTGTACATATCTGAAGAAACTGTCTTCAATTATATTCAATTTTGTAGTTGAGGTTATGTGAGCATTGTGATTGGAATTGTCAGCTAACGCACACAAAATCTTCCGCAATCAGCGAAGCGTAACATGACATTCTTCGCCCGTTACCTACCACTTTCGCCACCTAGAATCTCACTGACACACCTGTCGCCTCGCCTTCGAGGGCTTTCCTGACAGGCGGGAACGATCTGCCACATGGCAACATGCATCGCACATGTTTTCGCGGGCTAAGTTGGTGGTATGCCACACCCTTGGTGCCGTTCTCAACCGCCCATCCCTGTGCCCGATTTCAGGGTTGCCTTCAAATCTGTGATTGTACATGTGTGGGTCACCTTCAATCTGCGATTGTATGCACTCTCCTGCTCCTCAGTCCCGCTTTCCATCAAAATTGGCTTCCGTTTGTGTCCCACTGTGAATTCGTTAATCACCGATATCTTAGGCAAACTTTAGGGCGTTTTGACCAGGAATCTAGATCTCGAAGTGCTCAGCTCGGAAAATGGCTACGTTTTCTTGGCGTTTCGCCGCAGTAGTCCTTCAGGAGCATCTCTGCAGAATCTGAATGTTCTGTCGTGTCCCCCGTATATGCAGGCTCTCCCTGGTCAGACAACACCTGAAGGTTGCCCCAGTTTCAAGCTGATTCTTGTTGGTGATGGCGGTACAGGTACGCGTCTCTTTTTACACAGTTCGTTTATGCGACGTCTAGGCACGAGCGTTAATTCGTCTTTTTTACTTTCTTTCTTTTCCGATTCTTTCAGGAAAGACGACCTTTGTGAAGCGTCACTTAACGGGTGAATTTGAGAAGCGCTATGAACGTAAGTTGAAGGTTGTCGTGGACTCGGTTTTTGCGTTACTGTCCTGATCTCGTATCAGCGTTAACAGTCACACCGTTGTTCATGCCGCAGCCACTATCGGTGTGGAAGTCCACCCCCTTGATTTCTACACCAACTGCGGTCAAATTCGCTTCTACTGCTGGGACACAGCAGGTCAAGAGAAGTTCGGCGGTCTTCGTGACGGTTACTAGTAAGCCCTTCCACGATTGTCGACACCTTTCTCCCCGTTTTAATTCTGCTACGCTAGTTCACTCCACCGAAGTTGGTTGTCACCGTGATAGTCCTTAGCATAGTGTTGAACGAGCTTAAGGAAACGAGTCGGCTGTAGCTTGGGAGCAGATCGGTGCGATTGGCAAGACGGGGTGTTGATTTTTGGCAGTGCGGTCAAGCTTTAGAGGCTAGTAGAGCGAGTGCGAAGAATGAGTCGATAGGGATAACAGCATTGTAGTACTCATTTAGTGCGTGCGTTGACGTAGCCCGTCTCGTTGCGCTCCTCCCTTTTGTCCGGCCATTTTCAGTCGAGAGACCTCAAGCTGACCCTTTTATACTTTCCTTCGCATTTCAGTATCCACGGGCAATGTGCGATCATCATGTTTGACGTGACATCGCGGCTGACATACAAGAACGTCCCTACATGGCACAGAGATCTGTGCAGGTAAGCTTGGAGCTTGTTGGTCGCGCTACGGACGAAACATTGAAGACACGCTGCTTACTCTTTTTTCCCATACCTCTTTCCCAGGGTGTGCGAAAACATCCCCATCGTCCTCTGTGGAAACAAGGTTGACGTGAAGAACCGTCAGGTGAAGGCCAAGCAGGTCACTTTCCATCGCAAGAAGAATCTGCAGTACTACGAGATTTCTGCCAAGAGCAACTACAACTTTGAGAAGCCGTACTTGTACCTCGCCAGGAAGCTTGCCGGGTAAGCTCATCATCTTTTTTCTTTTACTCCGTAAAAGAGTGCGCTTCCGATTAAAGGCTTTCTTACTTCCCCTGGTTACTGCTTTTCTGCTTTCAGAGATGCCAATCTTCACTTTGTGGAGTCGCCTGCCCTTGCACCACCTGAGGTCGCCATCGACCTTCAACAGCAGGCCAAGTAAGCAAAGTACTATGTCATATACCAAGAGAAACAATTGTGAAAGTCGGTCATTCATTTCCTGCTAATCTTCGTACTCTGTGCAGGTACGAGGAAGAGCTTGCCGCTGCTGCTGCTCAGCCACTTCCAGATGAGGATGATGACTTGGTGGAGTAAACAGTTGGCTGGACGTAATCCACACGCACTCTCCATCAATTAGCTGCAATCATACAAATCTTTATGTATGTTTGCATTGATTTAGTCGATTCATACAAGCTGCCCATAGCTTATCCCGTATTTGTAGTGTCACCAAATTTCATAGGCTACCCTAGTTACCCAATTATGTGATGCGTGCTATTACATCCTACTCTCATCTTCGGCCGCTGGGCATACCTCACACCTGTTCAATGCTGTTTGGAATAACGTGAAGATTCTTTGGAGATTTAATCATAGCGATTTCAGCATCTAGAGCAATTCCAGTGTGCTAACCAGACTTGCTTGCTCCATTCCTTCATGTAAAAATCAGGCTTGCGTGTAGCCAAAACACACTAGCTGAAATAATCTTACACCCCAGTACACACACTCTCTTAAAGCACAAGATAAGCATGAATATTGGATCACCAAAAGACTACCACATATTCAGTCTCGATTAGGCGGCAAGATTGCGGACCCGTTGCCTTAATTCCTCAAGCTGCTGAGTGGACGTCTGCAGCTGTGATTGCAGGACATCCACGTGCACAAGCTCATCATCCACAGCACAGCGGTACGGTGCCAGCTCAGCGCGGATGCGTGACTCCAGGTCGGCCAGGCGGCTCTGCAGCTCGCCCTCCAGCCCCTCCTCCAGGCGCTTGATGAGCCCCGCTGCTCGCTGCCGTATCTTGCCCTTCACCTGCTCCCGCCGCTGCGGGAAGGTGAGCACGTTCAGGGAGCTGCACACGCGCAGGCAGGGTGGGGGGAGGATGGGCGCATTGAAAACGGAGTGCTGGTTGCGTTGGTGGAAGAGCACATGGGGCTTAACCAAGGCAGTGGGCAGCTCACACTCATCAGCTAGGCACACCCTCCTACAGTCAGTGCAAGGTGGGGCGTGCAAGGATGATCAAGGGAGGCTCACCCGCCAGCGGTGCAGACAGTGAGGGCGAGCAGGTCCTCCAGTGACGACTGCAGCACTGCCGTGAGCACTGACGCCGACACCCCTGCCACGACCAGCCCTGTCACCGTGCTCACCACCTGTTCCATGCCATGGCCCGTGTTGTGGTCGTGCCGCACACAGGACGTGAAGGAGGACGTGGAAGTGGGGTAACGAGGAATGGGAGAGAATGGAGAAGTACGCAGCAAAGGTAAAGAAATGAAAGTAAGAAAACTGAGAAAAAGAGGGGTCAGAGAGAGGTGGAGCATCAAGGGGTCAAAAGTGGAGAGTGAAGGAGGGGGTGCGAGCATGGTTGAGATGGATTGGTGGTGGAAGCGGGCAAAGAGAGAATGCGGGAGCAGTGGAAAAGGGATGGATGCGAGGACGACCTGGGTCATGCGGGATCACAACAGGGCCGCCATTCTCCACTTGTTTCATCCACACATTCATCAATTCCCACACCTCACTTCCATTTCTCTCCTCACTTATTCTCTCCTCCCACACACTCCCTCATCTCACCGACTCCCTCATCTCCTCCTCCAGCAGCAGGGCAGCAGCGCGCGGGCTGAACCCCTCCAGAATGCCAACCGTCTCGGGAATCCTCCCCTCCTCGCCCTCCCCCTCGCCCTCCTCCTCGCTGCCCGGCTGTGTGGGGCCGGGCGGCACGGAGGGCCAGCGGGTGCGGGCGAAGTCGCGGTAGCTGGCGAGCTGGCGGGCGTTGTTGGAGCGCAGCCACACGTGGTGCTCCACCAGCGCTCTCTGCTCTCCGTGTGTGGTGGGGGGAAGGTGTGGGGGATGAGGGGACGGATTTTTGACAACCGTTCCATGGGGGAATGCAGGGCGAGGGGAGAGGGGGATGTGATGATGAGATGCGTGGATGGGCAGAGTGAAGGGGAAGAAATGAAGTGGTATGGATGGAGACGAGAATTACTGCTGCTCCAATGGAGTGGTGAGGAGGGTGGGAGCATGTGAGTGAAGCACATTAATAAGCCAGGAGCGTTGAGGATTTGTGTGGTGTTGCTGCCAGAACACAGCGATGTATTGGGACACCAAGCAAGCATTTCACGAATATCAGCCACTACGGCATGGCAGCACTCACCCGCACGTCAGCCACCACGGTGCCCACGATCTGCGTCTGGAAGCTCTTGCTCACAGGCAGCATGCTGCCCCCCCCACTCGCCCCATCACCACCGCCCCAGCCACCCCCTCCAGGCGGCGAGAACAGGTACTGCAGCATGACGTCAGCATTGCCCAGCCGCAGCGTGGCCTCCACAAACTCCTCCGCCCTTCCCGCCGCCTCCCTCACGAGGGCCGCCACACGGGCGCGCTGCAGCAGCGAGTCGGTGCGCATGGCGGCGCCGTACCCCTCCATCTGCGCCTCCACCGCCGCCAGTGCCTCGTCGTCCCGCGCTGCCGCCTCCGCCTGCGCCGTTAGCTGCGCCTCCGCGCCCGCCAGCAGCGCCGACGCCACTCCCAGGGGCGTGTCCAGCTTCAGCCGCAGCCGCTCTGCCCCGGCGTCGGAGGAACCTTCCAGGAACTGCTGGATGAAGATCTCGAGGTCAGCGAAGCCTGACGCCTGGTAGGACGGGTCGTTGCGCAGGCGGGCGGCTGCCGCCTGGGCGGCGGGGTCGGGCGGCGGGATGGTGGCAGTGGAGGAGGCGAGGGCGGGCGAGGGCGCGGGGGGGAAGGGGTAGGGCGCGTTGTGGAGGAGCTTGGCGGCGAGGGCGGGGCGCGAGGCGAGAGGGAAGCACAGCACGGTGTCGACGGCCAGCAGGCGCTTCACGTTGGCCGTGACAAACTCCTGCACCTCTCTCACGTCGGCGGGCGAGGAGAGCGAGTCGACCTTGTTGAGCGCGAAGACCACCTTCTTGCCCCACTGGCGGATGTAGCGCAGGAATGACACCTGGTGACGGGGAGGGGGTGAGGCGGTGGGGAGGAAGGGAGGCAATGAGGGAGCGACAAAGACAGGAGGAGTAGAGCTGGAGGAAAGGTGTGGAGAGCCAATTACAGGGATACATGGGTGGGTGGCACGAGGAGGGCAGGAGACAAGGAGGGCAGGAGGGCAGGAGGGCAGGAGGGCAGGAGGGCAGGAGGGCAGGAGGGCAGGAGGGCAGGAGGGCAGGAGGGCAGGAGGGCAGGAGGGCAGGAGGGCAGGAGGGCAGGAGGGCAGGAGGGCAGGAGGGCAGGAGGGCAGGAGGGCAGGAGGGCAGGAGGGCAGGAGGGCAGGAGGGCAGGAGGGCAGGAGGGCAGGAGGGCAGGAGGGCAGGAGGGCAGGAGGGCAGGAGGGCAGGAGGGCAGGAGGGCAGGAGGGCAGGAGGGCAGGAGGGCAGGAGGGCAGGAGGGCAGGAGGGCAGGAGGGCAGGAGGGCAGGAGGGCAGGAGGGCAGGAGGGCAGGAGGGCAGGAGGGCAGGAGGGCAGGAGGGCAGGAGGGCAGGAGGGCAGGAGGGCAGGAGGGCAGGAGGGCAGGAGGGCAGGAGGGCAGGAGGGCAGGAGGGCAGGAGGGCAGGAGGGCAGGAGGGCAGGAGGGCAGGAGGGCAGGAGGGCAGGAGGGCAGGAGGGCAGGAGGGCAGGAGGGCAGGAGGGCAGGAGGGCAGGAGGGCAGGAGGGCAGGAGGGCAGGAGGGCAGGAGGGCAGGAGGGCAGGAGGGCAGGAGGGCAGGAGGGCAGTAGGGCAGGAAGGTAGGAGGGCAGGAGGGCAGGAGGGCAGGAGGGCAGGAGGGCAGGAGGGCAGTAGGGCAGGAGGGTAGGAGGGTAGGAGGGCAGGAGGGCAGGAGGTAAAGAGAGCAGGGGGGCAAGAGAGCAGGAGAGCAAGAGGTCAGGTGGGCAGGTGGGCAGGGCAGGAGGGCAGGATGGCGGGAGGGCAGAGGGTAAGAGGGCAGGAAGGGAAGAAAGTGAGAGGGCACGGTACGGTACGAACCTCAGATTCGGTGAGGGGGCGGTCAGCGGAGAGCACGAAGAGCACGAGGTCGGCCTGCGGCACGAACTCCTCCGTGAGGCGCTGCTGGCGCTCCAATATCACGTTGGTGCCGGGCGTGTCCACCACGTTCATCTGCTCGCGTGCCACCCCCAGGGAAAGGAGAGAAGGACGGACGGGAGAGGGAGTGACACGTGAGAGGTTATGAAGAGCAGCGCAAGAGTGGATGCTGTCATGAATGGCGGGCTGGCAGCGGATAACAGTGAGGGGCTAAATTTTGACCTGTTTGAGGAGGTCAGCGGGCAGGAAGCGAATCATGTGGCCGTCGGGGTGGCGTTGCTCCTCCACCGCCATGCGCCCCGCCACCGCCCTCGCTGCTGCCCTTCCTGCCACCGCACCCCTCTGCGACCCTGCCGCTGCTGCTGACAGCGCTGCACTGGAGGCGGCCTGGGCGGCACGCGCACGCAGCTGGGAGGAGGGCGAGGAGTCGAGGTGGCGCAGCAGCGTGATCTCGTTGGTGGTGGGCACCACGCCCACCTTGAGAAACGCATCCCCCAGCAGCGCGTTCACCAGCGACGACTTGCCCGAGTTGAACTCGCCCTGCCCCATGTGCGTGGTGCGTGCGAGGGAGAGGGGGGGGAAGGGTGGCAGAGGGAGGAGTGTGAGCGGCGAGGGCAACAATTCGTGTGAGTGAAGCGAGAGGACTGGTTGGGTGAGAGGCAGCAATGTGCGCAGGCAGTGGACTTGCATGCCATGCCATGCAATGGCTCTAGATGTTCAGCATGGCCCGCCATGGCGAGCGATGATGAAGGAGAAGTGAATGGATGATAATGTCATGGATGATGATCTCATGGATGATGATCTCATGGATGATGATCTCATGGATGATGATCTCATGGATGATGATCTTATGGATGATGATCTCATGGATGATGATCTCATGGATGATGATCTCATGGATGATGATCTCATGGATGATGATCTCATGGATGATGATCTCATGGATGATGATCTCATGGATGATGATCTCATGGATGATGATCTCATGGATGATGATCTCATGGATGATGATCTCATGATGATCACAAGAATGGATGAGCACAAGAATGCATGGCGGCACAGAGGGGCACTGACCACGACGACGACGAGGAATGGTTCCCCCAGGCGGGCGAGGGAGTCCTCCAGCAGCTGTATCTCCGCCATCTGATGCCATGCCATGCCATGCCATGCCATGCCATGCCATGCCATGCCATGCCATGCCATGCCATTGCAGGCACGCAGTCATGTACGCATGGAGACACAAGTGCATGCAGGCATGGTGGGAAGCCAAAAGGGCCAAGACATAAAGAGCGTATGGGAGGGTGACACATGTGACAAGCAGCTCACATGTGACAAGCAGCTCACATGTGACAAGCAGCTCACATGGGGGCAAGCAGCTCACATGGGGGCAAGCAGCTCACATGGGGGCAAGCAGCTCACATGGGGGCAAGCAGCTCACATGGGGGCAAGCAGCTCACATGGGGGCAAGCAGCTCACATGGGGGCAAGCAGCTCACATGGGGGCAAGCAGCTCACATGGGGGCAAGCAGCTCACATGGGGGCAAGCAGCTCACATGGGGGCAAGCAGCACGGAGCAGGGCGAGCAGCGACATGAGAAGCTTCCTCTCCGCCTTCATGATGCGCCGCCCCTCCACGTCCAGCAACCCCCGCCCCTCCCTGCTCTCCCCTTCCTCCTCCTCTTCCTTTTCCCCCTTCTCCCCCTCCCCCGCCCCTGCCCCCTGCACGCGCACATCCTCCCCCGCCACAGCGCTTGCAGCAGCTGGCCCTGGAGGCCCCCCCACGCTAGATAGCACCTGCTCCACCTCCTCCCTCCCCTCCTCCACGTCCCCACGCCCTCTGCCCTCCTCTTCTGCTGCACCTCCCACCCCCACCCCCACCCCCACCTCCTCCGTCTCGTCCTCACTCTCCACCTCACTCTCCGCCTCACTCTCCTCCTCGCTGTCCTCCCCCGCGCCCTCCCTCTGCCCCGCGCCCCTGGTCACCCACCGGGCATCCGCCATGGCGCCCACCACGCGCCCCACCACTGCCCGCATCGCCCGGCTCTCCCCGCCGCCTCCCTCACCCCGTACTTCCCCTGATTCTGCTCCTTCCGCTCCCTCGGCAGCTTCCGCTGGTTCTGCCGCTGCCGCCTGCAGCAGCGAGGAGAGCGAGACGGCCACGCCAGCAGCGCCGCTGCCCATGACGCCGCACACCCACTGCACGCCCTCCCCCCCTGCCCACGCCGCCCCCTCGCCCCGCTGCACCAGCACAGGGATGCTCACCTGCCGCGCCCTCACCTGTGCCACCGCCGCCGCGTCAGCAGTGCGGGGCGCAGTGGTGGCAGTGAGAGCAGCCCCCCCTGGTGCGGCAGTGGCAGCGCAGGGCGCGAGCAGAATGAGGTCGGCGCCGTCAGCGGTGGTGGCCGTGACTGCTGCGGCCACGGAGGCCACTCGGCGCGCCACGAGTGGCAGCAGCGGGCCCGACGCTGCACTTTCCATCATGCGGCGCGTTGCCACTGCCGGCAGACCTGGGGGGATGGGCGCAGGCATGGGGCAAGGCGAGGAGGCGAGGGGCACGACCACGGAGAGAAGCGGGGAAGCAGAGGGTAGAGGAGGGCAGTGGCAGAGATAGGCGTGAGAGGGACGGAGGGTGGAGGGAAGACGGGAAGAGGTGTGGCGGGATGCCGCATAGGCAGCGGGTTCAGAAGCAGGGAGAGCGATGGGGGCGGATAAAGGACTGTACCTGTGAGAGGCGAGGGCCGTGATAAGAGCATGGGTGCGACATGTGAGGATGGGTGCGACATGTGAGGATGGGTGCGACATGTGAGCATGGGTGTGACATGTGAGGATGGGTGCGGCATGTGAGCATGGGTGCGACATGTGAGGCATAAACCATGTGGTGTGTGAGTTGACCTTCCCAGCTTCCTACAATCACAATCCATGTATAATGCCACGTGAAAGAAGCCGTTGAAATCCCCTCGCTACAGGGACGCGCCATGTGCCATGCCACCATGCGACCTTGCCATGCCATCATACGACCATGCCACCATGCGACCTTGCCATGCCATCATACGACTATGCCACCATGCGACCTTGCCATGCCATCATACGACTATGCCACCATGCGACCTTGCCATGCCATCATACGACCATGCCATCATACGACCATGCCGCGCTCATCTCCCCTCGCCCTCTCCATCCCTCACCCCTTCCCCCACCCTCATCGCACCCCCTCCGCGCGCCCGCATCGCACCATTATCGGACAGCAGCACGCCATCAGCGCCAGCAGCGGCGGCGATATCCGCGCGTTCCGCCACGAGCAGCGGCACGCGCCCGCGCACCACCTCCTTCACGGCGCACGCCGCCTCGAACAGCTCCATGCCCGCGCCGCCCCCGCCCTCCTCCCCCACCACCACCATGGTCGCGCCCCCCGCCACCGCCGCATCCACCGCCTCCGCGCTGCCCTGCGCCCCTCCGCGCAGGACTTCCGCGCTGGTCAGCGTCAGCAGCAGCGCAGGTAGGCGCACCTCCGCGCGCTTTTGCCCCGCGCGGAAAGATCCTACTGCCACCGACCCCGCGGAGCCCTGCCCCCCCGACGTGGTCGTCGCGACGCGCACGGCCCCTCCACTGGTGCGGCGCGGTGGGACGGATAGGCGCGTGGCGGGGACGAGCGGGGGGCGAGCGGAGAAGAAGGCGGCACGGGCGCTGGAGAGACGCGCTAGGCGGGGAGGTGCAGCTGCGAAATGAGCAGGACGCGAGCGAGTCTGTGTACTGGGACCAGCGAAGCGAGCATTCACGACCATTTGCGAATCTGTGTGCTGATGACTCGTGGCGCACACGACGCTCACTCTCGCGTCGCGTAATAATAGAGTGGGCGCCATGTTCGGATTCCGAATAATGAGTGAAGATCAGACGGAGAAGGGAGAGAACGGGCCTAGCCAGCGATCATGGCTGGCAAAACTGATCGCAGTGACGAGTGGGTTGAGAAAGAGGCGGCGAGGTTGGAGAGTGCCCGGATAAGGAGGGCGAGGTGGATTCGAAGGATTCTGCCAAATCCACTTCGGTATTGGGACGGTACGGTCAAGGGATCACAATGTTGGATTCGTTAGCATGAAACCTCATGTCATGCAACATGTAAAAGTTGAAGAGGTGGGATGTTGCTATAAATGTCATTATCAAGTAAGTGAAAACTTCATCAGAACGAAGTTAAAAAAAAATATTTATATGGTTTGATAACAGATTAAACTTATTTTCCTAGCTCTCTACATAAAGATAGAAGCTACATCAAATATCTTTTAATTATCGGCAACAAGATTTTCGTGCTTTACAGTAATAACACAGCACTACGTACAATCCGGACTCTCGGAGGTACAGGCTTGGCTGACATTCTAAACTCCAAGTCTGCCTTGATTCAACTTCCAACATTCCTTCGCCAAACGTGTACTAAATTGTTAGAAGTAGCCTAAGGGAAAGCCTTAGTAGGTGTTACGATCAGAAACTGATCGACCCTAGGATCACCTCAGGAAGGTTCGCACACAACTGAAGAGTGGTGGTGGGCCCTTGACCTCAATAGCAGAGTTGATGTAAGATGCTTGAGATGAAATAAAACATGCAGATACAGTGCTATAAATATGAGTACAGGGGAATTCGAATCGACCTAGCTAGCCATGTACTCTAAGGGGTACATTCCCTTATTCGAATTCAAGTCCAACCGTGCGACGTGTATAGTTACGAAACTGTTCCCGCCAATTCCCTCGTCCCTGCAGCTGCTCGATGCCGTTTGCCTCTAACGGTCTGGATTCACTCCAACTGTTCACCCTGCCTCGAGTCGGCTCTGACTCTACGTGTTCGTGCCTCGATACTGCATGCCTCGCTTTGCTTCGGTTAGGAGTGCACAATCACATTTCGCTATTCGTAACACCCCCCTTCACTCCTGGTCGTAGCTCGACTTGACTTGTTTGACCACTCCGCTGAGTTCGGAGCAGTGTTGGTACTGCTGGCGTGGCAGTCGCTTCGTCAGGAAGTCAACTGCCATGTCACTTGTTGGGCAGTAAGTCAGGTCGACTTTGCCTTTGTCCACTTCGTCCTTGACGAAGAAATACCGCAGCGCAATGTGCTTGGTGCGGTTAACGAAACTAGGCTTGTTCGCGATACGAATCGCGCTCTGGTTGTCGCAGTGTAGGCGGAAGGTGGGCGAAGCTGGAATTTTTGCCTCCTGCAGGAGTTCTTGCAGGTAGAGGCCTTCGCGAACTGCTGCTGTTGCTGCGATGAATTCCGCTTCAGCCGATGACAGGGCAACCGGTTCCTGTTTCTGTAAATTCCATGAGATTGGTCCCGTCGGCTCGAGGCGGAACAGGAAACCAGTTCTGGACTGTCGATTGTCGGGGTCTGCTGCGTGATCGGCGTCCACGTAGCCGATGAGGTTAAAGGATGGGGTCGGCACAGAGAGCCCGATCTTGGGCGTTGAAATGAAGAACTGCAGAACGCGTTGCAGATCCAAAAGATTCTCGGCCGTTGGTTTGCGGAAGTACTGTGCGAGTTGGCTCGCGATGTAGGAAAGATCGGGCCTGCAGGTGACAGCTGCGAAGAGCAGGCATCCCAGCTGCTGCTGATAAGTCTGAATGCCAGCGGGGGATAGGGCTTTATTATCGGGTTTGTGGTTCGGTCCGGGAGTTCGGTAAGGGGTGGAGAGTGGTGCAGGGGAAATGTTGAAGCGTTTCCCAAGCTCTTCTGCATACTTAGTTGCTGAGAGGTGGATAGCTTCTGGCGCGTAGGAGATGTTGAGGCCTAGAAATTGCTTCACGTCGTAGTTACAAGTGATGTCGACGCATCCTGCCAGACTCTTCTCGAACTGCTCCAATAGTTCATTGCTTGACCCTGTGTAGAGGAGGTCGTCGGCGTAGACGGTGAGCAAGATGTATTCGCCGCGGAAATCACGGCGGTACATTCCTGGGTCGTGAGGCAGCTGCTTAAACCCAATTTCAAGCAGGATGTTGTGCAGATACTGCTGCCAGAGCCTCGGTGCTTGTTTGATCCCGTAGAGGGATTTTCGCAGCTGACAAACACGAGAATCACCTTCGCCGTAGGTGTGTGGCTGCTCCACGTAGATCACAATATCTACTAACGCGTATGGGAATGTGTTTCTCACGTCGTTCTGGCGCAGGGGCAGGTGTCTGGCGGCAGCGATGGCAAGCAGAATTCGGACGGAGGTGTGGCGGCTAGCCGGTGCGAATGTCTGGTCGAAGTCGATGCCGTGCCTCTGATCATAGCCGCGCACCACCCAGCGCGCCTTGAAGCGTTCAATCGTGCCGTCTGCTGCGGTCTTCACGCGGAAGACCCACTTCCCAGAAAGGACCCTTGCGCCTTTGATTGCTGCGCGGTCGACCAACACCCAGGTATCTCGGGATTCGAGTGCCTTAATCTCCGCGTCCATTGCCTCTCGCCACTCTTTGCTGTGTGGTCCAGTGAGCGCTTGGCGCGGGTTTCTCGGCTAAATGACACGTCGCGCCTTTGAGGTTGCAGTGTGAAGTCCCAGCAGCTGCAGCCCAGAGACGGTGCTGTCATGACGATGCTGTGGGATAACTTCCTGCATATCGTCGTCGTCGCTCTCTGGCTCAGGCGGTGTTGGTGGCGGTGCGCCTCTGCCACTTCCTCCGGTTCCGCCCATTCCTCCTCCCACGGAATCGTCGTCATCGTCATCGCTGATGTGGCGATCTTCTCTCGTGAACTCGCCCTTGGTGTCCTGCTCCAAAATCGCTGCAGCGGCTTCGTCCTCGGGTGTTGCGTAGCTATGTCCGTCGTTAGCGTAAACGCGATTCGCGTTTTTGTTATGTGATGCTATCATTTGCATTCACGTCTGTCTGCCTCCCATCATATGTTCGTGCGTTGCATGCGTGGTGTGAGCGTGTGCAAGAATTTGTGTTTGGTGTGGTTTGGATTTTCTGAGTGTGTGTGAATGTTATTTGGCCTGAGCAGATGTTTGAAGTGACTGCTCAGCTCAAGAGCTTTCCGGCGAACCAAGAATCGTCGCGATCGGAGCACGAACGAGAAAGTTGCGAACATTTGAAGTTCGTATGCTTTTGATATTTGGTTGTGGCGACTATGGGAAGTTGTGGGGTTGACTCAATATGGGGTATAGACTTTTGGGGGTTGGGAAAATTCGTCACTCTACTGTAGTTGATGCCAAATGGTTGGGAGAAGCCAAACCAGGTTGGGAAGTGTGGCCAAGTTGGGTGAGGTGGATGGCATGGGTTGGGAAAGTGACAAATGTCAAAGTTGGGGTGCCTATAGAGAGGGGAATTGTGTGGTATGGGGGTTTCCTTGGTTGGGGACTCCTTGGGGACCTTCCCTCTCGTCCTCCTCTTCCCTCCTACCCGGTTGATTGCTACTCTAATCCTCTTTGTGGAACTTGTGAGACTCTTGTGATTGAGTCAAGTTTTTGTGGCAGAACACCCCCCAGTGCGCCGAGACTGATTACTCGAGATATATACTCAATGTTTTGAAGTGATTCAAATTGGGAAATGTAGCCACGTTTTAGAGCTACTACATACTTGGTTTTCGTGAAATTATAACGGTGCACTTTTCGTCGACGGCGTTTTGTTGTGAAGTCGACAGTTCTGTCCAGAGATTGTGACCAACGATTTTGGGATATTTTGGCCCCTAAACGTTATAGACTCCGTCCTTAGTCTCTAACAGTTTGTCTGCTCATCGTGGCGGAATTGCTCGAGGAAGAGGCGCTCGTAGAATATGACTTCACGCGCTTGGGAGACCTTGCTCCAAGCTGGTGAGTCGCTGAAGTAGTTGTGCGAGGACGGCGGTTCCAATCGTCGTTGTTTCCTCGCTTGTCGCAGCCAGGTTGGTCTGCGCTTCAGCCGACAGATTCGCCTGACCACCAGATCCTCCAGGCATTCTGACACGCGAGCGTGTGCCGGTCGCCACTTTCCGTTCGTCGAAGATTTCGGAGGTGGCAGTGCGAAGGATTCCTGAGTCGCTCTCATACCATGTTATGATCAGAAACTGATCGACCCTAGGATCACCTCAAGAAGGTTCGCACACAACTGAAGAGTGGTGGTGGGCCCTTGACCTCAATAGCAGAGTGAATGTAAGATGCTTGAGATGAAATAAAACATGCAGATACAGTGGTATAAATATGAGTACAGGGGAATTCGAATCGACCTAGCTAGCCATGTACTCTAAGGGGTACATTCCCTTATTCGAATTCAAGTCCAACCGTGCGGCGCGTACAGTTACGAAACTGTTCCCGCCAATTCCCTCGTCCCTGCAGCTGCACGATGTCGTTTGCCTCCAACGGTCTGGATTCACTCCAACTGTTTACCTTGCCTCGAGTCGGCTCTGACTCTACGTGTTCGTGCCTCGATAC